ATAATTAACAAGGTCAAAATATGGCTCAAGTAAAATGAATTAAATAGGATGTCCACAAGTTAGAATAAGGTAGATGGGCTTGCCATAATAAATGACACTACATAGCCCCCTCGTAGAAAATAGCACATTTAAAAAATGTCTATTTTCGAAAATAACACTGAAGTGATATGAAGTTAACGTTAACAATAAGTAACCAAAATAAAATTGTACAACACTCGATAAAGTAGTGGTTCACATGAGGGGTGAATGTATTTTATGAAAATACATGAATATCGCAAAGGCGCGGACAAAAATGGAAACGTTAACATACGAATATGAGCAAATTAATGAGCGTACAAAATATTAACATGTACCAATGCTATGATTGTCTGAACCATAAAATAACACGTTCATATAAGCGATTCAAAATATCGTGAAAATAATAATAAATTGTTTGTGGGTATGACAGCGAAGTAAATCGTAAAATGAGTAGGGTAAGATATGATAGTAATTAGTCTGTGATGCCGACAAAATAGTGAAATATGTTAAATATATGTTCTGTTGAGCCGCAGTAGAATAGGTAGCATCGATTAGCGATGAGTGAATTTGAATTTAAATGAGTAGTTCCCCATTCGTAGGATGATAATAGGCAAGTCGTGAAATGATATCTGCATCGACGGGTGATATTCGTTGCTGTACTGCAATTGATAATAATCATAAAATGTGAAGTCAGTGAACGTCGTCGTCTGCTTTATGACAGATGCATTGAGCTATCGTTAAATATGTATTAGTAAAATGACCAGAGGAACAGAATAGTGACTGAGTAGACGTGGTACGTAGAGTCTTATTCCTTTTTGGTCATGAAGCCTAGAGTGGTTTGTGTGGTTTGAGGGAGATGCGGTCGACCTCGTTTGCTACAAAACCGTACCAAGGCATGACAAAAATACCAATACATATGATTAGCGATGGCGACGTATGAGACTGACTTGAATGTAACGAACAAGAGTGTATCTTTGAGAGAGTAGCTCTAAACTCTATGTTCTGATATACCATGTGATGGGTGTAGAATAGTAGTTGCAGTACTCGAATAGCGTTTTTGAGTGATAAGTGATGCAGCATGTAGTTATGCACGTGGAAGAATAGATAAGATGAACGTAATGGTTTCCAACCAGCTCGTTAGAGGCATCCACAAACATAATAGGAGGCGATTTCGAAATGAAAAATGTATGTTGTGATAACATAACATAATGTAATATTAGATCAAATGACATGAAAAAATTGGAACGAACTCACTTAAAGCAGGAAAATTTCATGTTTTGAATAGTAAAAATATTCCAGTGAGTTTTGGATGTCATAAAGTGGAGTGTTCATAAAATGATAATCTGTTCGGTGAGCAATATGATTGCGAAAATGTCATAATTTAATGACAGCATGAACATGATTATTAATTCCACATTCGGTAATGATATTGAGAATAATGTAATAATAAGCATATAATGATACTTCGGATCATGATGGAGCAAACCGACGAATGGATCAATGAGAATAGTTGACATGAGGACAAAGTATCGATAAGATAATACGACTTGAGCATGTCCATGTCATGTTGCACAGGCTTTGCTGAGTGCGTCGGATTAGAGATTGAACTGGACCAGTTGAGTGTGTTCGTCGAATGTATCAAGTGAAGAAGTCTATTCATCGACGTATCTTGATGCATTAGGTACGTCGTCTGCGTGCTTACCATTTCGGTCGTCGAAAATATGGAGTGCCGACGTTCATTCATCGACGTAGCTTGCTGCGTTGCGTTCGTCGTCGGCGGGTTCACCAATGTGGCGGCCCGATGATCTGACTCCAATTCAGATTGTATGAGTGTTTGCTATCACCTATTCTCGTATATCATCGTTGACTTAGATCGCGTTATCCAATAACGGAATTAAATAAGTCGAATAACGAGAATTGACTTGACAATACATATATTTCGTACATGAAGTGGATGAAACAGAGCCAAACAAAATGACGCACAGGGAAGATGGCTGGGAAGCCAACTCCCATTTTAGTCAAGAGTTACTCCATATTTATAGGCAGACAGAATAAAGCTACAGACATGTGATTAATGCGATAAGAAGGGCACACACTTATACACTCAAATAAAAACAGTCAGGACTGATAAGCGAATAATTAACAAGGTCAAAATATGGCTCAAGTAAAATGAATTAAATAGGATGTCCACAAGTTAGAATAAGGTAGATGGGCTTGCCATAATAAATGACACTACATAGCCCCCTCGTAGAAAATAGCACATTTAAAAAATGTCTATTTTCGAAAATAACACTGAAGTGATATGAAGTTAACGTTAACAATAAGTAACCAAAATAAAATTGTACAACACTCGATAAAGTAGTGGTTCACATGAGGGGTGAATGTATTTTATGAAAATACATGAATATCGCAAAGGCGCGGACAAAAATGGAAACGTTAACATACGAATATGAGCAAATTAATGAGCGTACAAAATATTAACATGTACCAATGCTATGATTGTCTGAACCATAAAATAACACGTTCATATAAGCGATTCAAAATATCGTGAAAATAATAATAAATTGTTTGTGGGTATGACAGCGAAGTAAATCGTAAAATGAGTAGGGTAAGATATGATAGTAATTAGTCTGTGATGCCGACAAAATAGTGAAATATGTTAAATATATGTTCTGTTGAGCCGCAGTAGAATAGGTAGCATCGATTAGCGATGAGTGAATTTGAATTTAAATGAGTAGTTCCCCATTCGTAGGATGATAATAGGCAAGTCGTGAAATGATATCTGCATCGACGGGTGATATTCGTTGCTGTACTGCAATTGATAATAATCATAAAATGTGAAGTCAGTGAACGTCGTCGTCTGCTTTATGACAGATGCATTGAGCTATCGTTAAATATGTATTAGTAAAATGACCAGAGGAACAGAATAGTGACTGAGTAGACGTGGTACGTAGAGTCTTATTCCTTTTTGGTCATGAAGCCTAGAGTGGTTTGTGTGGTTTGAGGGAGATGCGGTCGACCTCGTTTGCTACAAAACCGTACCAAGGCATGACAAAAATACCAATACATATGATTAGCGATGGCGACGTATGAGACTGACTTGAATGTAACGAACAAGAGTGTATCTTTGAGAGAGTAGCTCTAAACTCTATGTTCTGATATACCATGTGATGGGTGTAGAATAGTAGTTGCAGTACTCGAATAGCGTTTTTGAGTGATAAGTGATGCAGCATGTAGTTATGCACGTGGAAGAATAGATAAGATGAACGTAATGGTTTCCAACCAGCTCGTTAGAGGCATCCACAAACATAATAGGAGGCGATTTCGAAATGAAAAATGTATGTTGTGATAACATAACATAATGTAATATTAGATCAAATGACATGAAAAAATTGGAACGAACTCACTTAAAGCAGGAAAATTTCATGTTTTGAATAGTAAAAATATTCCAGTGAGTTTTGGATGTCATAAAGTGGAGTGTTCATAAAATGATAATCTGTTCGGTGAGCAATATGATTGCGAAAATGTCATAATTTAATGACAGCATGAACATGATTATTAATTCCACATTCGGTAATGATATTGAGAATAATGTAATAATAAGCATATAATGATACTTCGGATCGTGATGGAGCAAACCGACGAATGGATCAATGAGAATAGTTGACATGAGGACAAAGTATCGATAAGATAATACGACTTGAGCATGTCCATGTCATGTTGCACAGGCTTTGCTGAGTGCGTCGGATTAGAGATTGAACTGGACCAGTTGAGTGTGTTCGTCGAATGTATCAAGTGAAGAAGTCTATTCATCGACGTATCTTGATGCATTAGGTACGTCGTCTGCGTGCTTACCATTTCGGTCGTCGAAAATATGGAGTGCCGACGTTCATTCATCGACGTAGCTTGCTGCGTTGCGTTCGTCGTCGGCGGGTTCACCAATGTGGCGGCCCGATGATCTGACTCCAATTCAGATTGTATGAGTGTTTGCTATCACCTATTCTCGTATATCATCGTTGACTTAGATCGCGTTATCCAATAACGGAATTAAATAAGTCGAATAACGAGAATTGACTTGACAATACATATATTTCGTACATGAAGTGGATGAAACAGAGCCAAACAAAATGACGCACAGGGAAGATGGCTGGGAAGCCAACTCCCATTTTAGTCAAGAGTTACTCCATATTTATAGGCAGACAGAATAAAGCTACAGACATGTGATTAATGCGATAAGAAGGGCACACACTTATACACTCAAATAAAAACAGTCAGGACTGATAAGCGAATAATTAACAAGGTCAAAATATGGCTCAAGTAAAATGAATTAAATAGGATGTCCACAAGTTAGAATAAGGTAGATGGGCTTGCCATAATAAATGACACTACATGCTAATAATGCCAACAATGAAAAAAATAGTAATTTACCAAGGTTCGAGTTTTTTCATTGTTACTGCTTCAGTAAACCGGAGATGCGGCGTTTTTTGTCGCTGACAATTATAGAGGAATAGTTACTGTCGGTGATATGTTCCGTATCAGTCATTACAGTGGTTTCATCCTCTCAGAGGCCCAGATATAATAAGCAGGTTTTATCTCATACTGTGTTGCATATAACACGTCCTTTGGTATGTCACACTTCTCAATGAATTGTACACACATTTAAATCTTGAAGCCATCGAGAAATAAATTGTAGGGTTTGTAATCTGGTATTGAACTAGGAAAAAAATTAAATTTTAGCCGCATCTAGCCCACATTTTTATCTGAGGGCGTCAATGATTCACGAAGATTATATATAAATCCCGAAATTTCTTCATTTACATCCATAATGAAAGATCACATTTGTCAGAGCTAGCACAAATAAACAGTCACTTGTGTTTCACAAACACAAACTGAAAGCATTCTATATAAGTAATATATGGAAAATAGCTAAATATAAGATCTATCCTACAACATTGGGTATTGTTTGTTGAATATCTGAGTAAAAACTTTCAAATATTCAGGGTCATTTGGTTCCATCATGAGTGTTTCCCGTTTCTGGATATCTACTTATCGTTATTCGTATTTATATTGAACTGACACAAAAATTCATATGAGCTTTGTTCATTTTTATTTTTGGCATCGTCATTTTTACATTTATTACAGTCACCATACATAATTAGATTATAACCTATGTCTATAGGCATGGTTTATCTAATTTAATCTACCTCTAGCTAAATTAACTTCATTCGATTCGTTATGTAGCACAACTTCTTAATCTTTAGTGGTAAACTGCTTCACACCAGACATTTTGACTCCATTAGTCTTAACTTCTAACTAGGACTCCATGATTTGCCTTTTAAAATAAATCGCTAGTAGGGGCATAATAATTACCAGTAATTGGTTTTACGAAAGTTCTTGGATTTTATCGAGATCACTTTACTTCCAACACGACTTATTCGTCTCTCGGTGTTTCGTAATGGCATGAACTAAACAGACTGCTCGCAAGTCGACCGGAGGTAAGGTGCCTCGAAAGCAGCTGGCCACCAAGGCTGCGCGCAAAAGTGCCCCAGCTACAGGGGGGGTGAAAAATACACATAGGTACAGACCTGGGACTGTCGCACTCCGAGAAAGCTGATGATAATTAATTTCCCATGAACGTCCGTGCAGACATTATCTCAGTTTAGTTGCAAAATTCCTTGATTGGATGCTAATGACTTTGACTTAAACCTCGATATTCAACTTGAATATCATATGGTTATCGACGGTCTTGCTAATTTACAATGGTTAAATAAATTTTTGAAGTTGAAAGCATGAATGTAACAACAATCCACTTTGATAAATCATCACTTATCTGCCTGTACTTGATGAAATTCCCTCCAGATTTCATATTCGTTATCGGAAATTTCATCCACTTAATATGTCTAAAAGTAAAAAGTGCAAGACAAATCATTTCAGATAATTGTTGTTTCAAAACAAATATATTATCATTCTCGCTGGGAATGTCAAATATGTGTTACCCTCCAAATTTCAAAGTTTATAAAAGCTATCTAAGTAATCATTTCGGTTAAAGGTCTCTTTCGATGCATTTCATCAATACTCTGTTTTGTCTTTCATGAATTTTACTATACTTTCTCTTAAAATTACCAAGATATTAGGAGTCATGCCATTTGTTATTTTTAGTTTGGAATAAGTCTGTACATTTATTTTTTTTCTGCATCTTTTAATTTGTAATGCTTTTAGTTTCGTATACGCCGCTTAGCTATAAAGCTGTCTATCAACAAAGTTATCGCTGCTACATCCATGTACTAGTTTGTTCAAAGTGTGCTAAAGTCCACTAAATATTCATTAAAAAACCGGCTTATGTGCTTTAATTCCATTCAGTATCTATACAACAAACAGTTTTAAAGGGTTCACTTATCATCTTGTGTAATGTACAACGATTGATACATCTAACAACTACCACACACATGAAAAGATTCGAAAATACTATAAAACTTAAAGTGTGATGGATGGCTCCAAGTAGTCATTCACAGTTTAATATGCTTCTTGTTTCTTGTGGAGGTTTTATATGTAGAATTGTGTTGAATTTGAATTTTCCATTTGGTAGAATTAACATGTCTACATGCAACAGTAATATTTTCCAAAATTTTAGTCTATCTTAAGCATTCCATCAATGATTGGATTTCGTACAAATATCGGGAAAATTTCAACTGGAATACGGACCTTTACAAAGGTAATAGCTGTATTTCTAAATAAATTTGTAATCAGGCAAGTTCTCTTTGTGCTCCGATCCGTAACAAAAGTATGCATCTCGAACTCTAAGTAAACCCATTCATTTCAGTCTATATTGAAGTTTATGGGTGTCAAATGAACCATAGTGATACCAATATTGCTCAGAGTTTATTAACAAAAGCTGGGTATACTATTGTCCCATCGGATGAACAGGTTAGTTCTTTTCTTCAAATATAATCCTACAGTGTGACACTGTCTTGCTCATGACATGTGCCATTCGAGATAGTGCCGAAGTAAAAATTTGGCGACGTATTCAACACCTGCGATCTCTTCATCGTAAATCATATATAAAAATAGGTGTTCTAGGTAAGTATCTTGTTTTAGACAATCTTAGATTCAATTGTGCGTATGCTATAGGGTCTCTTTATAAGCTACTATAATCAAATATCCATTCTTAGGCCTTTTATAAAAGATCACAGTGGTCTCTGTATAATTGATGGAATGTTCTTGACTTCTGAAACACAACTTCTAAGGTTACTCAATGACAAATTACAGCTTCATGTATACTCGGTTTTTGGTCTTGCCTTTTTTTTGAGGACTGGTGACACTACCTGGTCAAACTGATGTAGAGCGGAGTTTGACTTCGTTATGTGAATCACTGAAAGTCATGTGTACTAATAAGCCTTTGAAAACACGACCTTTTTCTCCCATAGCAAATTTATCATTTAGGTTTCCCAGTAATATAGTGCATGCTTCCTGTATTTTCAAGGTATAATAAAGATAGGAAAACTAGAAACACATGATTAAGATAGTAAAATGTACATGTCTGTAAAAACTGAAAGCTTGAGTATCATTGGATGGCAACCTAGCATTGGAGCTGCTTCGAAATGACAGGCAGGGACTTACTGGTTTTGTGATTAAACACAACATTCTCAATGTTCTCAGTTCTATTGTTGTAAAGCTGATATTTTCGTTTTAATAACTAATATTTTACTAAGTATTGGAGGCTAGTAAAACAAGTTCATTACATTTGCCAATCGTGATTGAGAATAACAATAACCAAAACCCTGCATAAACTTTGATAAACTGGTCTGTGGAATTATGTCTATGGAGCTAAAACACTATAAGGTTCGCACTAGTCATTTACTATCTTAGACGAAATACATAAGTTTTTTCACAATTGGGCAGCGACAAAATTGTACTACATAAACGAAATAATATTGTAATGAACTAAAGAAGAGAAGAGTATTGCAGTCAATAAACAAACAAGTACAGTATTTAATAGGACATACAGTTCAATAAAAACTAGGGTTTCATATCATGAACTGACCATCTCTCCACTTTGTCCCCATTCCCAGTGTTGGCAAACAATGCACGACATACAGGCTTCTGCTGTGACATCTGTAGAATATGTTTAAGCCACCGAGGACAAGGTTTCAACATGGTAACACCAATTAAATTATCGCCTCTGTGACCAAACATACATTCCCGAACCTCAGCATAGCTAACATAGCGTTGCCATTGAATACCGTCAACTGTTTGGAAGCAGTGATAATTTAACACGGAAAGTCGTCAAACGCTATCAATTCGGACTAGTAATGTTTTAAAAACGTATAGCAGAACTTTTCTAATCAGTGCGTTGTCAACTAGACCTTTTGTAGTCAGGCTAAAGTCGCTACAGCGTCAGAGATTGCCCAGATTGGGATAATTTTCTCTCGTCTTACTATGCGTAGATTGGTTCCATCTGTCACCCCACCACCTGGACTCACACAATCACCCATATGCATGAATTTTTCGAATATTAACGGTTTGTAGCAACCCCTCCCGTGGTGTAGGAGTCTTTCCCACTTCAAAGGTGTAAATTAGATTCTGTACTTACAAATACTAGATACCAACTGCTTAAGTGTGACTTGGATAGTCTGTGTATCTTTACTAAGTAAAATACTGTCATCTGTATACTCAGTGTGAAGTCATTCTCCATGTAACATACAAATCGTCACGTATTTCTTTCAGATCTGTTCTTAGAATATTATCGATAGCAGAATTAAAGATATATGGTGGTATTTGACAACCCTGTGTATCTATACTGTTTGACTGTTTCAATTGAGAGTGGTGGTTGTATGCCCTCACTCTACCTGATGTGTTTGTGTAAAGAGCCTTGAAAATGTTAATAAGCTTCACAGATACATCCTTCAACAGACGATCCTAATGAACAGTCATATCCAAAATATCGAAGTCATCTCAGATGTCAAGAAATGTAACGACTATTGGTTTGTAATAAGTGTGACAGTGTTCACGTATTTGACACAGAATAGAGATTTGGTGAACGTTATACTATTAAATTAGGTGTCCGGAGTCCTCTTTTGTGATGCCATCACGCTGCCAAGCTTTTATAGCCTACATCAACCAGTCAGTCAGCGGCAATATAGAACTTCGTACGTACGTATCTACGTACATCGGTTCAAGTTGTCATACCGTATTAGCACAGAGATACAATTGTCGATTCAAATCTCATAGTGGTAGAGGCGATAGGAGTATAAGCAGTAATCGGAATGATTAGGGTTTGAAAATGTTATTTAAAGAGTATAATCCAGTGAAATAAATTTGAAAAGAAAAAAAGAGACAAGGAGGATTCAGGAGAACACAGAGTGGATGCACCTGCGCCATTGCAAACGATTTTGAGCCATGTCATTCAAGGTCTCTAACCATCGGTTGCTATCGTCTTGCGGATCCCAACCAGGTAGTCTACACTTACCAACATGGCTCAGTCCAAGGTTTATGTACTTCTGGGGTACGCCTTTCAATGACAGACATTGCCACAGAATCTCGCGGTCTACCGAGTCAAATGCTGCTTTTAAGTCAAGAAAGACCACCATCGTCGGACGCCGATAAGTATGCCTGTGTTCTAGAACCTGACGAATGGTGAATATGTGGTCGTTGCAGCCACGACCAGGCCTGAAGCCAGCTTGGTTTTCTCGTGTTTGCAGTTCACGAGTCTTAGTTAGGCGTCTGATTATTGTTGAGGCTAGTATTTTAGATACTATATTAGTTAAACTAATCCCTCTGTGGTTGTCACAAGATGATTTTGATCCTTTCTTATATATTGGGACGATAAGTGATGGCGACCAGTCAGATGGAATAACCGATGTACGGTTAGCAAGCTGGTTGCAACTTCTGTTGCAAATAAGTATCGAACCGAGCTAGCCTCTAGGCTAGCTACCACTCCACCGAAAAGTATAGATGAGCATTGGTTGCAATTGCATGACGCCATGAAAATGGCGGGAACAGTCAGTTGTGGGTTTGCGAAACGTCCCGCTTTTAAGCACTGGGTTTCTTCTGGTTCCTTACAACTCATTGAAGCCCGTCGGTCTACTCCGGGTGACCGTGAGTTTGACCATAAACGAAGGATGTTACGTAAGGAAATTGGGGAAAGCTTGCGTAAGGACCGAGAAGCCTGGTGGTCGGAGCGTGCTAATGAGCTGGAAGCAGCAGCTGCATCTGGTAACTACCGGAAGCTCTTCCAGCTCATCCGAGCCACTGGCAGCAAGAAGTCTGGTGTGAGTGAAACAATCTGCGAGGATGATGGGATGCCAATCACTAACATCCATCGACGTCTTGGACGATGGGCAGAATTTTTCGAAGGGCAGTTCAACTGGCCTGCTGCTCCGGCAACATCGGTCAGACTGTTCTGCCCTCTATGGCCGGTGACGACTGATCCACCAAACGAGGAGGAAGTCCGCAAGGAACTCCAACTCTTGAAGCGTTACAAATCACCTGGCCCAGATGACTTACCTCTGGCTCTTTTTAAAGATGGTGGTGACTTTTTGACTAAGGAATTGACGACGTTGTTTACAAAGGTTTGGGAACTAGAGAGTGTACCAACGTCATGGAATGAGTCGATAGTTGTCCCTATCTTTAAAAAGGGTTCACGTCGTTCCTGCAACAACTATCGGGGGATAAGTCTACTTCCGATTGCGTCCAAGCTATTGGCTTCCGTCATACTTCGTAGGTTGTTCAAAACCCGAGAAAGATTGACTCGCGAGGAGCAGGCTGGGTTTCGTTCTGGTCGAGGATGTATTGATCATATCTTCACTCTCCGCCAAATGTTAGAACATCGCCATACTTATCAAAGGCCAACAATCGTAGTGTTTCTTGACATCAGGGCTGCCTTCGATTCGTTGGACAGGACTGTTCTCTGGGATTGTCTATTGAAGAAGGGCGTGCCTGAGAAGTTTATTAACATCCTAAAAGCCCTATATAAAAACACCTCAGGCAGAGTGAGGGCATACAACCACCTCTCTCCATTGTTCCATTCGAGCAGTGGGGTTAGGCAGGTTTGCCCAATCTCACCATTCCTCTTCAACTTTGCCATCAATGACATTCTGGAAACAGCTCTGATGAACGTAAGTAATGGTGGTGTGGATCTGTTGCCTGGAGAAAGACTTCTCGACCTTGAGTATGCGGACGATATTGTCTTACTGTGCGATAATGCCCAAGGAATGCAATCCGCACTTAATCAGTTGGCAATCAATGTCCGTAGGTATGGTATGTGCTTTGCACCTTTGAAGTGCAAAGTACTTCTACAAGACTGGCAGGATTCCAATCCTGTACCCACCCTGGATGGTGAGCAGATAGACGTAGTCGAGAAGTTCGTGTATCTGGGTAGCTGCATAAGTGCTGGTGGGGGTGTGAGTGATGAGATCAATGCACGTATAGTGAAAGCCAGAGCGGCTTATGCCAATCTGGGCCACCTTTGGCGCCTTCGTGATGTCAGACTGGCTGTAAAAGGTCGGATCTACAACACGTCGGTGAGAGCAGTTTTGCTCTATGCTTGTGAAACCTGGCCTCTCCGAGTTGAGGACGTTAGACGACTCTCTGTGTTCGATCATCGCTGTCTCCGAAGGATTGGTGTCATTCAGTGGCAACACCATGTCAGTAATGCAGAGGTTCGGCATCGTGTGTTCGGGTACAGAGATGATAATTCAATTGGTGTCACCATCTTGAAACACCGACTTCGGTGGCTTGGACATGTTCTACGAATTTCGTCTCAGATAATTCTACATCGTGCATTATTTGCCGACTCTGGGACTGGTTGGAAGAAGTGGAGAGGTGGTCAGTGCATGACATGGTGTCGTGGTATGAAAGAAAGCTGCAAAGGACTGGCTTCTGTCGGTCCTTCACGACTCCCTGGTTGGGGTCTGAGAGATGGTGCTACACAGTGGCTAGAGACGTTATCAGATATGGCTCAGAATAGAAGCCAGTGGCGATCCTGCTGTAACCTTCTTTTACTTTCTTCATAAAAAGTGGTTGTGTCTCCCTTACTTGAAAGATTTCTTCTGATTGTACCTTTCCGTTCCATCGTTACGACCACACTACCTTACACCAATCTCTTCGTTATCGTTCTCTTTTTCTTTTGTGCTCCTTAGTTTTTTTTCTATCTCTCTTCGAATTTTCATTGTTTTGTGTGGCGCATATATATTGGCGCTCTCTTGTACCAATATTTATGTGTTCAAATAAATAAATAAATAGATGGAATAACATCTAACTCCCAGATCTTAGCTAAAATATTAGTCAACCGCTAAAATTTGACCACCATCCCTAAAGACTTCTAGAGCCAATCCATCTGGACCAGCTGGCCTTCCTCGTTTCAGATTAACTATAGTCATTTGAACTTCTGCTAGAGTTGGGGACCTACTTCAATGTTCCATTCACACTGTCTGGGAATGGACGGTAGTTGTAGAGTCGCTGAAGGCCAGCTGAACTGTTCCCTAAAGTGTTCCGCCCATCGTTCTAAACATCTGGACTGGGAATAGATGAGAGTATCGTCTTTTTCCGAAATAATCTCACTTACACTTGACTTATTAGTTCCCGTTTCTTTTATTAGTCTGTAGAGCTGTCCACTTGTCAGTGACTTCATGGATTTGTGCCATGTTTTGGTCTGGCCACTCCTAGCTTTCCTCCAACCTACTCCTACACCATAAAACATCGCTCGCGGTAGCCAGTGGTTGGGCATACACGTGTCCCAGCCATCTCAACTGATGAAGTTTCACTATCTCGTTCATTGATTTACCATTCTTACTTAGTACCCGTTTCCTAACAACTGCGTTACTTGCTCGATGGTCCCAGGATATAGAAGCAATGTTTCGAAGACACCTATGATCGAATACTAGTAACCTGCGGATATCCTCTACTCTTACCGACCATGTTTCACAGCCATAAAGTAGGACAGAATGAAATGCTGCACAGTAAACCCGTCCTTTGGTTGGTAACTTATACCAAGAAAATCTCACTCACTGCCTTCAGATGGCTGGGTCGTTTTTAAAAAATCAAAGGGCAAAAAGCAAGTGTTTGGCGCTCAAAACGTGTTAGTGGATAAAATGGTTTCACCAAGGGGAGTTGCACAACCGTGACTGTACAGAAATTTCGAATTACAGTCTTTTTAGAAGTATCACAACTAGACATCTGAAAACAACGTTTACAGTATCACAAAAGTGTAGTAAACAAATCCAAAAATCTTTACCACCATTGGATATCAGTTCACACCTTACAATATACCATGTGACCGTTAGATGATATTAACAAGATGTGGTCTTCAATACTAAGCACAACAATAATAATAGTAACCAAGTTCGATAATATGTTAATGATATTTTACCTAATAAAATTTCAGGATGTATGGCCAAAAGGTTAAAGGATAAACTCCTTATGGATGACAGCTGTAAAACTTTAAAAGCGGGTGATCTTCAGTCATCTAGTTTTGATCACGATAATTACACTGCTGCGGCAGATTTTGTTTGCGGCCCTGATTCTTATCGTGATTTGCCGAAACTTATTGAAGATGCTCATTCTGGACTAAAAGGTGCTAGCGTCGCATTGTCTTTGGAAGAGACATATGCAGATGTAACTCCTGTACGACGTCATTTTACAACCGACGAATCCTCAGACCCGATCCCTGCTCCTACTGCTTTCCTATCAGTTATGCGTGGGTGTGATAATATGTGCACTTATTGTATTGTACCTTTTGTCAGAGGACGTGAACGCAGTAGACCATTGGACTCAATCCTTCACGAAGCACAAAGCTTATTTAATGAGGTATATTCACACATGTTTCTTGCTTTATAATAACTAGAAGTCTGTTATTCATAGGGGCAAGATTTCATGTTTACGGAAATTGTAGTTCCATCATTTCGTTTTCTTAGAAGTGAGATTTTATTACCGTTATCAAGGGTTATGTGTGTGAACAAAATCGTATTTATATTTTTCCCCCGTATGTTGTATTATCTTACTTTGGTCGGATTGTTTGGTATACTTGTAGAAACTAGCTTTGATAAATTTATGCTAATGAATAAGTACTGTAACATCGGTTTACTTAGATTTAGATCAGTTCAATAACACTTACTCATACTCTCTGCTAGAGTATACAAATAATTAATTAGAAATTTATTTGAAAGATGTTAAATCTTTGTGCAAGGTAGTTTGTCCTTTTTTCGAAATTCTCAAATTTCCCAATTTATAACCTACCATTTTTCCATCACTGATAAAAGTACAATTTAGTCGCTGCTGTACATACAGAATTCTATCTTATTGCATTACGATGTTAGTTTTTATCATCGAATGATAGTAGCTGAGATACTAAAAGATATCAGAACTCATTTTAAAACTGTTTCGTTGTAGCTTAAGACTTATCATTGAGTTGACATCTAGTGGTGCTTACACTTGTAACTTTAACTGATTTGTAATGTCACACAACACCGCCTGGTTTTATTGGTGAATGACAACGAACTCACTAAAAACCTCTAACTTCGGTGTTCCGGTGAACAAAAACACTCCAAAAATAAATTCCACAGATTGGGCGAAACTGAATCTTCAGAAAATTTAATTACACTTTTCCCGTCCGATTTTGCCACCTAGTCTGAGACCTGTTTACAAACCTTATTTATCTACTGCATAACCAAAAGATGAAGATTTGCAGTTGGCACAAAGGAAATTATATATATATATATATATATATATATATATATATATATATATATATATATATATATATATATATATATATATATAATTATGTTAAGATCTAAACTGTGTGTTAAATCGGTTACACAATCCTTGTTTTGCTTTACTCGCCTTGGAAGATTTGTCGATCATAGGGTTTTCTCTAAGAACATACAGTCAGTATTTGACTGATTGGTTATTCGTGTGATATATTGTCTCATTTATTTGATTCTGTAACAAGTAATACAACTATCAATATGAACTCATAAAGTGTATTCCGTCTTATGACTATGAAATTGGAAAGACCATTATGTGGTACATTGAGAAATAAAGTTAATTCCTAAATTTTTATCGTAGTATTCATCGAAAAGACGATCAGAATTGTGTAGCTTCTGTTGTGATTTTGTGCAGACTATCAAGTTTCTATTAACAATACTTTTAACGCTAGTGTAAAACGTACTTATCAACAATTGAGATCTATCCTTGTGACTGAGTACCCGTATAAAGGTCTATACATTATGATGTCAATCACTGATTCAGTATTTTACTCAGTTCTCACAGAACCCTTCCGAAATAATTAGAGCCCAGTTTACATAAGTATATCTGTTTACCGTGACAATGCACTTTTAGTAAATTTTGTTTGAAATCAGTTTCGTAGTGGTTGAAATTCATTCACTCTAACTTCTAGATTGTAAAACAGTATGAGATATAATTGTTTCAGGAAAATAATAACTTACACTTCTTAAAATAAAAAGTTATAACTCCCTAAACCTCTAAAAATAGGTCGCGTTTTGGGGTCTCTGTTTGCTTTACTACTATCATAATTTTTCGCTTGATTTAGTATGAGTTTATACCTGCACCAACTTTCAGTTATTCATTCCAAATTCATCAATATTAAATATATTGCCCTCAATTATTCTACGGCATCATCGATACTTCCAATTATTGTTTTGTTTTGCCTTTTCTTTCATTCATTTAAATAAAAGGGAGTAAAAGAAATCACTTTGCTTGGACAAAATGTTAATAGTTATTGTGATAATTCGAATACAGACTTATCAATCAACTCGTCTAAAACGATTTCAACACTTGTCCCTGGATTTAAAACTGTTTATAAACCAAAAGTTGGTGGTTTAAGATTTTTCGATTTATTAGACCAAGTAAGTCAGATTAGTCCAGAACTTCGTATTCGATTCACATCACCACATCCAAAAGATTTCCCAAAAGAGGTTAGTTAGTTATTTTTCTAATTTTTCATATTTACGTTACATTAAAAATATGTTTCGAAAACAACTACAGAGGGAGTTAGTCGGTCGTGAAAATGACATGGTATGATATCCAAAAAGCTGTGGAGACGGTAGTGATATCTATTAGTAACTTAAACTAAAAGGTTAGGAAAAATCGGTGGGTTTCGGCAGCGTTTACAGGACTGACAGGTGCACGGAAACTCGTTCTGTCCGGCTCTGAACACGATGAGGAGCGGAGGCAGCTTGAAAGTAGGTTGATCAAAAGCCTCCGTAATGATCGTGAGCAGTGGTAGTTAGCGAAACCAGAAGAGTCGTAAAAATCAGCAGCAATGGGTAACGGTAGACAGCTGTTTAGATTTATCAGGGAAACGAGCATTGAAAATCCGATTGTTAATAAAACTATCTCAAAAAAGGCGGGACTATTATGCACTCTAAATCCAGGAGAATAAACCGGTCGGCAGAACACTTTAGGGAACAACCTAACTGACCTTCAGCCACACTTCAGTTACCCACTATTTCCAAGCAAACTGATGAAAATCCTCGAACTGTTAGAATGTCTGAAAAGGCTATAAGCAATTTAAAGCGAAGGAGAGCAGCAGAGCATAATGGACTAACTTTCGTGATTTTCAATAATGGTGATTCAGTTTTAGCAGTAAGATTAACTGAAGTTTTAGCGAAAATCTGGAAACTGGACGTAATCCCATCTGACTGGTCTCGATCGCTAATCGTTCCAGTTTATAACAAAAAACAAAAATCCCATTGTGACAACCACAAAGGAATCAGTCTTACTGATAGTGTCTAAAATATTAGCCTCAATAAAACCACGGCTTCTAACTAGAGCTCGTGAAGAGCGAACCCGAGATAACTAGGCTGGTCTCAGACCCGGACGTGGATGTGTAGAACAAATATTCACCCTTTGGCAGATCCTGGACCATAAACATGCTCTTCGGCGTCCTGCTATAATCGTATTCCTTTGTGGCAGCTTGGTTTCGTTTATTCGTCACCCTGGTAACCGTTATTAAATAAATCCCAAAGGTCTAAGAATTCAGAAGGCAATACAAAGCGCCGGCTACAGTTTATATTGGATAGCGCGGATAACAAGCACATCAAGCGAATTTGAGCAAAAAGGCTACTTCGCACGTAGCAGGCGAATAAAGAGGTAGATTCTGAATCAAATCGAATCATGGCGAAGCGATAAATAAGATGCAAGCATATATATATCACCATGTGCCACCAATGTTAGTGATTTGAGTTCACGAAATGTCATTCATGGTCTCCTGAAACCATTCTCTAAACTACATGTTATAGCACTCAATATTCGAACTTTGTGTCAGTTAAGACTCTACGATCTCGCGTCATTGATGTATACTGAGTTCCCAAAACGCGCATGCGGGGTTCAAGCACGGTTATTCTAGTGGAGTTTTGTTCTCTGAGCTGAGTGGTTCGGCCGTGGAGCTTTCATCGTTCTTCTGAACGACATCATCAGCACAAACTTCAGATAGAAGAGAAGTGTTCGAATTTCTCCATATGTGTTTCACAGCTTGTTCTGTCAACCTCAATGTTGATTGGTTCTTATTGACCTTAAATTTGTCATTGTTTACTTTGTTTTGGTTGTGTCTCCCATTGGTTTGATTTTTGTTCTTATATTTGTGCATGATTTTCCTGATCGGTTGATGTATTGAATTGATTTCAATATGCTTGTTGATTGCTGATTGACCTGAGTTCCAGGCTTCTAAAAATTCCCTGTGTTTTGGGGATTTTCTCTGTCCAAGATTTCCACTTTTTTCTAATCGAATGAGTGTCCGACGTTGTCCACGTGTATTGGTATAAGTGAGGAAATATGGCGTTTGACTGCTAATTGATGTTCATGTAGGCGAAGGTGAAGGGGGTGTCCGCTTTGTCCGATGTAGTGTTTTTCGCAGTTGGCACAATTTATTTTTTAGATGATGTTTAATTTGTTTTCCTTTGTTATTTCATCCTTTAGTTTGCATAGGATTGTTTTAAGTGATTTTGTCGGTTTGTGTGCCACACCTATCCCGAAGGTTTTCAGCAGTCTCGTTGAGGTTTCTGATATGCCTTTTGTGTATGGTAGGGCGATCCTTTTGTTGATTTTTGTGCTTGACATAGGTTCTGATGCTGCGTTTGGTTGGTGTTTTTTGATGAAGTTGATTGGGTAGCCGTTCTTTTGAAATATGCCCTTCAGGTATTTCTCTTTTTTTTCGTGCTGTCAGTGTGCTGAAGTTTGTACTCGCCCTCTTGAACAAAGTGTGTACGCAGTTGATTTTGTGAGCTCTTGGGTTGTTGCTGTTGTAGTTGAGAATATGATCTGTATGAGTCGGTTTCCTACATACTTTAGTTCCCAGTTTTCCTGTGTCGGTTCTAGTGGTTAATATATCCAAGAATGATAGTTTGTTGTTTGACTCCTGGTTCATTGTGAACTTGATGTCATCGAAAACGTTGTTGATCAGCTTGTAAGTGTTTTCTAGCTCATTATTTTTGACGATGATGAATGTGTCGTCTACATAGCGAATCCAAATTTTTGGCTTGATCACTGGTAATATCGCGGCTTCTAGTCTTTGCATCACTGCTTCTGCTATCATTCCTGATCTTGATGATCCCATCGGTGTCCCTTTCGTTTGTTCATAGATTTTGTTGTTGAATTGAAAATATGTTGTTAGGCATAAATCGATGAGTTCTAGTAGACTTTGAATTTGAAGCTTCGTGTACTTAGTGAGATTTGTGTCGTTGGTGAGGAGCAGGGATATAGTTTCTTTTGCTAACCTTGGTTCAGTTGAGGTGAATAACGCTGTTACATCGAAGGATATCATCGTTTCGTCGTTGTTGATTTGGATGTCCTTAATTTGGTCCAGGAAATGTGTAGGGGATTTGATGAAGTGGTTGGATGAATCTAGTGAATGTTCCAGTATTCGTGAAATTTCTTTTGACAAATTGTATGTTGGCGTTCCGGGAAGTGCTACAATTGGACGTAGTGAAGTGTTTGGTTTGTGTATTTTTGGTCTGCCGTGGAATAGAGGAAGTACCGGTTCATTGGATTTCATTCTCCATTGGTCTTGTTTTGTTATTTCTCCTGCCTTGTCCAGCTTGTTTAGAGTCTTTGAGATTCCGTTGTTTAATTTTTTGACGGGATTTATATCCATCAGTTTGTACGTGCACTTATCTTCAAGTAGTTTCTCAGCTTTTTTGACGTATTCTTCTTCTTCCATAATTACTGTGTTGCGTCCTTTTTCCACTGGAACTATGACAATATCCTTTCTAGTTCTGAGTTCCTTCAAAGCTTTCTGTTCTTGTGGGGTCAGTTGGTTATTTTCCTTCACCTGTTGAGTTGGCGGTACTATAGTTTGCCTTGTTTCTTGTTGTTTCTTCACTGATTCCGGAAGTTTTTAGTGATGACCCCAGTGCTGCTAAGAATTCCAGTTTTGAGGCGTCGCTTGTATTGTAGTTTAATCCCTTTAGGAGTAGGCGTTCTTCCGTATTTGTTAGTGGTTGTTTTGACAGATTGATCACGCAGTTGTTTGTGTTTTTTTCATGGGTGGTCTTGAAATCTTGATTGGTTTTTTCTTTAAGGTGTTTCTTCTTTGTTCTCTGTGTCGTTTGCATGATATCTCGATGGCTGTTGTCAAGATTTCTAAATGTTCTGACGTGAGTGTCCTTTGTAGCTTCACCTTTTGGTCCTCTATGACGTGTTGGTATTTGCGGATCCTGTAGTGTGCATCCGTTATCATTAGGTGTACAGTTACTCATTTGACCTTACGCTGTCAGTAAAAAGGCCTCGCAAGAATCATTATTCGACTATCTAGAAACCCCACCGCCATTTCCCGCGTTCTCGCTCGTGTAGGTATAGCATTGAGTTTCAAGACAGAACAGGCTATCGTAGGAAACTAATCAACCTCCTTCAGAAAGCTAAACGCTGTGACGTAGTAAATGTGTCAAGTAATTTTTATGCTCAAGTAGATGAACTAAACCAAACTGACAGGCTCTTAGGTTGTTACAGCTCAGCGAACATATAATGGCGACCATCTATTTCAATTATGCTCAGGTCACCGTCCGTTTCTAGCAAACACCAAATCTAAACATATGGCGAAACATCGTCTGACCTGGCGACATTCATAATCGACTTATCTATGAACTCAAATAGATCACATTGCCAATAGCTATCGTTGGGATGGCTCGATTGAAGAGTGTCTCTCACTCTGGAGCACATATTTAGACTCTGATCACGCTCTAGGTCGAGCAGGTATTTGTCTGCATCTTACTGGAAGTAGAACAGTTAGTCATGTGTATTTGAGTTTATGAATCGGGATACCATATTAGTTGTTTAAAAAATGTTTTGTTGGTCAATGAGTTATTACTTGTCACAATGTTACCCGGCTTTCAACTCTTATCAAACTGAAATGAAATTTTTGATTTAATTTTCTTCATTGTAATGATCATTGATATTTGCATCTAGGTTCTTCAACTAATTTCTGAACGTAAAAATATTTGTTCAAATATACATTTACCAGCTCAATCAGGCAGTAGTGTTGTTCTGGAAAACATGAGAAGAGGTTATACTAGACAAGCCTACATAGAGTTAGTGAACACTATTCACGAAATAGTTCCAAGTTAGTGTCTCTTAGTTAATTTAAATTACTGTAATTATGAGTTTTTATCGTCCAGTTTAAGTTAATAAGTTGATGTACCAAGAAAAACTATTATGCACTTACGATTAATTCCATTTAGATATTTTAATACCATCGAGCTAATAAAATAAATGTCACTTACTAGATTGGATAAACTGACTAAAAGAGATTTGGAATCATTTATTCAAGAAAGTACTAGTCAGAACACAACTAGTTTTCTTAGCAAACAAGTTGCCTTCGAGCATTCAAATCTATTTAGGGACTAAAGCTAGTGTGGCATTGTTACAAGAATGTGAAAGCAACGACGTACGCTTAAAATCCCTTAAATAAAATGGATTAGACTTCTCCAAACGTAAAATTTTTAATGAAAATAAATAAATGCTAACAATTCACAAGCCTCGAATAGCTAAGTATACAGGAGCCAGTTATTCTACTAAAAACTACAATATCGCATTCTTTGCTTTAAATCAGTAAGTAAACTTGCGGAAAATCCTATAAGTCAGAAAACAACACAAATCCGTATGAAGCAGGAATATTAACAAATAGCTCATTATACTTGTTATTAAGTAGCGTTCTGTGAAACAGAAAAGGAGAAGCGAAAGGGAAACAGTTTATGAATATCGAACGGATTTAATGAAGATTATCAGTGGTGATAATCAAGATTGCTGTCTGCAAATCCCATGCATTACATTTTAGACAGTCTTACTTTAGTGAAATAACATATGCGTTGTCTCCTTCTTGCTTGATTTACAAGCCGTGAGTCTTTATGCAATTTTCTCTCCCTAAAATAGTTTTCTGATGGGCCTTGTCCATTCCAAGTACCAATTAGGTTTTCTAATATTGCAATGAAGAGCTTCACTCTATGAATACATGTACACACCCAAGCACCGTATTTATTTCCTTGTCATAATCTAGTTAGATTCTGAATAGCCGCTGAATGTTCTGGAAATATGCTAGTTTTTATGTGTTTGTATGAATTGTCTTCGAATACTCACGTAGTTCATACCATTGTTATCTTTCTTCCAGATGTTAGCCTTACAAGTGATTTTATCGCAGGATTTTGTGGTGAAACTGAAGAAGATCACTCTCAATCTCTTGAGCTCATTGAACGTGTTGGTTATTCATTTTGTTTCTGTTTCCCGTACAGTATGCGTGAGGTATGCATCATTTCTATTGCTTTTGAAATTCCTTTTTTATTTCTTTAGTGTTGATTAACCACTAGCTCTCTCTGCAATGAACCAGTCGATAAACGTTGAATAGAGTCTAATGTATCAAATACTCGACTATATGCTAATAGCTTATTATGTGAAGGGTAATAATACTATCTAGCTGCACAAATGAAAATCAATACAGTAGGATAGGTTCGGGTTGGTTTTTTTTAAGAACACTAAGGTGGAATAAGGACTTTTGGTATGTTCTTTAACTCACACTCTGTTTGAATGTAAAAGTTCTTTCTACATGTCTATTCACATGAGAACATCTAAAAGTCATCAATAATTCATCATACTTTAAACACTATAAACCAACTCGACATTATCGCATCACCACATTAAGTTTACCGTAGTAAGATTCATGCACCAACTCCCATACAAATTGGTCATTAGGCCTATTCATCCAATCATTTCAAAGCCTATCAATACTTTGTTTGGTGATACTCGTGTTTACAAGTAAGGTTCGTTTGTTAAGACTATGAACATTAAGAGACTAGTGTCGGTAATATACTGCGCATGTTAAACCACCCGACACCCCATTAGTAACTAGAATAGAAGCGGATTAAAAGAAATTTAAGGGGTAACCGAACTAGAACCTACTGTCAATCTGTAAACCCACGAAATGTTGATCAGTCTTGTTGAGAAGTACAAATTGTCTGCTTCGGGACCATGCAGCAACCGTCGAAAATTGTTGAAGACACTAAGTGATATAGCTAGAAATGGACTGTAATTCCAGATACATCTGTTCTTTACTTTGTTTTAATATTTCACACTTTTTTATTCCTTGAATTCATCTTTTCTTTTTTTAAAAATATCTACCCGTGTTCAGTTTTCACTATTATTGACTCGTTCTCTCTCGCTGGATACTCCTTAGGATTATGGCGATTCAGACCAATGGACATTTATGACGAGTAGGTTTAAATGGCTGAAACTAAATTAAAGGGCATTATGATTCATTTTATACGATTCCGCATATCGTCCAGTATTCTAATGCTTGAAAGTAAGATCCATTTCACCACAATATGTTCATTCAAACTGTTGATATAAAAAAAATAAGTGTTTCTTCCTCGTTTCCTTGTACTTCCCCTAATTTCATTATCTGTTGTATTTTGACTTCACTTTAGAAAACTTTTGCATATCATCATTTAACTGATGATGTACCGATTGAAGTGAAAAAACGACGGCATGAAGAGTTATCAATGATATCTCGAAATAAAAGTTTAGAGTTTAATCAAAAACAAATTGGCTCTATTCAAATTGTTTTAGTTGAAGGAGTAAGTTAACTAACAAATGACACTGACTAATTCGCGCCAGTGTTCATTCAGAAAAATTATTATTTGAAAAGAAAGAAGTATTTTGATCATCCCAAGATAAAACTTTTCATTTATTTATTTATTTATTTGAACACATGAATATTGGTACAAAAGAGCGCCAATATATATGCGCCACACAAAACAATGAGAATTCGAAGAGAAATAGAAAAAAAAGCTAAGGAGCGCAAAAAAAAGAGAACAATGATGAAGAGATTGGTGTAAGGTAGTGTGGTAGTAATGAGGGAACGGAAAGGTGCAATCGGAAAAAAAAATCAGGTAAGGGAGGCACCACCACTTTTTATGAAGAAAGTAAAAGAAGGTTACAGCAGGATCGCCACTGGCTTCTATTCTGAGCCATATCTGATAACGTCTCTAGCCACTGTGTTGCACCATCTCTCAGACCCCAACCAGGGAGTCGTGAAGGACCGACAGAAGCCAGTCCTTTGCAGCTTTCTTTCATGCCACGACACCATGTCATGCACTGTCATACGTAACATCCTTCGTTTATGGTCAAACTCACGGTCACCCGGAGTAGACCGACGGGCTTCAGTGAGTTGTAAGGAACCAGAAGAAACCCAGTGCTTATAAGCGGGATGTTTCGCAAACCCACAACTGACTGTTCCCGCCATTTTCAAGGCGTCATGCAATTGCAACCAATGCTCATCTATACTTTTCGGTGGAGTGGTAGCTAGCCTAGAGGCTAGCTCGGTTCGATACTTATTTGCAACAGAAGTTGCAACCAGTTTGCTAATACCAATCCGTTGATAGCGGTCACTTCGTTGTCCACTGAAAAGTAAGGCAAGATTGGCGCAGACCAAGGCATGGTCAGAGTCCAGATAGGTACTCCAAAAGGAGCGGCAGTCTTGTGCACAACCACGCCAGTGGTAGCTGATCGCGATGTGATCAATCTGAGTCCAGGCTTGGGATGCAGAGGGAGGACGCTAGGTGGCACATCGGCGATGACTGTGCCGAGAGTTAGTGCTAGCCAGAAACAGGTTGTGGTCTGTGCAAAGTTGCAGTAGACGGCCCCCGTTATCTTACCTGCGACCAACGAGTCCCCATCGGCCATCTAAACGACTCTCTTCTGTGCCTAGACCTGAGCATTCAAGTCTCCGGCTAGTACTACAATATCTGTCGAACGCACTTTCTGGAGAAGAACAGATAACTGGTGGTAAAACTCATCCTTGTTTGCATCCGGGCTGAATTTGTCGGGGCATAGGCGGAGATAACGAAAAGACATCGTTTCTCACGCCGATTTCTTCTTACTTTGATGGAACTCTATAATCTAACAGCGCATAACCGACTGTTAATGGGGATCTAATCGATTAGTGCTGCCTCAGCTCTAGCGCTTAGTGCGACACCAACGCCAACAAGACCAGACGAAGATGCCACTAGGTCCCCGGATAAGCGCACGTAAAACAAGCTTTTCGAAGCGACAGATGGGGATCGAATTTGTAGTACTTTACCAGAGTCTTGAATACGGGTCTCGGATAGACAACAAACATCAATATTAAGACTTTCCAAAGACATAGCCAGCCCTATCTGTTGTCCGATCTGCACTAGTGTGCGAACGTTGAAGGCAGCCAGTTTGAATGGTGCACGTGGTTTCAGAAAAACTGCTTCAGTTCTCGTATTCGGTGGTAACATACAATTTTCAACCGGACAGTGACTCGAGAACGTTTAGATACAGTCGAATTTCCACCAAAGACGAACCGCTGTATAAGTATAAAAGAGGGTGAATAATGTGGAAAGTAATAATAATAATGAAAATAATGGTAATAATAATAATAGTATTAATAATGACAATAATCGTAATGATAATAATTTGAATCAATTTATTGTTTTTCGAAGTGAGAAAAGTAATTTCCATAGACATGAAGAGTTCATCATTCGTGTGTGGGTTGTGATACTGTCCGGGTGCCCAAACCGAAGCAGGTTGTTTTCTTAGGTGGCCACACCCCGAGCCTTTGACCTAATGGTCTAACCCACAAGGCAGTGGAGCATCGTAAGGAGATGCAATCCCATGGTAGCCGGTGACCAACGATTGGTTCATACGCCATTTGTTCCCGTAGGATACTGGAGCCCATGTGCACCATTGGTTTGTGATCCGGTTAAAGCGCCGGACGTTCGCTTTACGTCCTCTCATTTTCGTAAACAACACCCCCGCCACGAGAAGGCAATGAGTAGGACTTCCCTGGCAGAGGCTGTATACGCTTGGCCGTGTGAGAGTATTTCGAGAGGGAGAGCATTCGGGAGCCCTCGAATAAAACTTTTCAGTCAGCGCTAAATGCCAATTTCATTATTGAGTGAATAGTTCTTGTTATGATGAAGCTACTGCTCATTACCGAATGATTGGTGATCCTTGAAGCCTCTTTAAACTTATCGATCGAGTATTTATCAATAACCTCCCTTAAAAAATTCCACCTTATCAGGTATCGAGTGATTGGACTAAATCTTCTTTAGGCTAACAAAATTCTCACATGACATATTTCTTAAACTTTGACTTTAGACTATCTTCATATTTTCAAATCCGATCGCCAGTATTGGTAAAACAGACATTTTTGACTTATCATTTCAACACGTCTTATGAAACATCGTACTTGAGTGATGTATTTTGTAAAAATCTTCTGAGAGAATGGGATTACCTAGTTGTTTTTATTTAAGTAAATACAGTGGTTCAAAACTATGAATTTTTTGAAAGAAAGAATTCATATCTTGATATATCCCTATAATGTGAACGAGACTGAAAAGGTATCGCCACTCTTACATGTCTTTATTTTGTTATTCTGAATAATATCCCGAGCCAATCTGTATCAAATGTTATAGCGTTGCATTTTCAAATACTCCACTATATGACTGTAAAACTTTTCTATTAAAAACGCGGGAGGTTATCTGGAATTTATAACTGATTACATATGCTAGCTATAAATGAACTAAACACTGCAAATCATACCACTTATTAGATTTTTATTTACGGTTAATATTCTTTATTTTTGAATATTCTATGGGGATTTTTAAACTATGGTTAATATGTTCGACAAAACCCTTCTAGTACGATAACGGATTTGATGTGATTGGATAAATCAAAAAAGTAATTATTCCTTGCAATAGAGACAAATGTTACTGAATGTTGCATCTTTTTGCAACTATCGTAGTGATTAAAGAATTTTCAAAGTTCCTTAAATTAAAATATTACGCTTTATTAAATTTAGCCTAGTCGTCGTTCACCAACGCAAGTGTTTGGACGTAATGATTACAATACGAAGGTAATTTTCGACCAAGATGTTGCACAAGTACCAACTACTAAAAATCAAGATTCTTCGCGTATATCATTCAAGCCTGGTGATTATGTGGTTGTTGAGGTTTGTAAATAGTTATATTTCATTATATTTTAGTAGTGATGGTATTGGGAAGGTAGATCACAGTCAATATAGCTTTAAACTATGGAGCGATTTTAAAACTAAATACAGAGTTCATTTGAAGGGATTCAGTGATAAACAAAAGTTTCAGTCACTCGGCTACAACGCACTAGACACATATAAGCATCGGTCCAGCACAAGATGAACGCCAAATTCTTAACAGTTACTCCAACCCTAGTAAAAAATAAAATTCTAGTGAGCATTGCACGTTGTGGCAATCGATTTTCAGGTACTGGTAGCTCGTGGCCCAACCTTCTCAGTCGATGAAAATTTACAACCTCATCAACTGATTTACCATCATTCCCTAATACTTTGCACACAAACTCACTATTTCTTACCCGGTGATCCCAGCAGCTGCTGGTAATATTTATAAGACATCTCTGATCAAATATTAGTTAGAGTTAATAAACCAGTTTAGCGTCAAGTTCAGTATAAAAAGTGTGTTTATATTCTCTTTACATTAGTTCTAACGCATAATAGAACAGCTTCAACACCAACAATCTACACCCTGCCAACGATACCGGAGCATGTCTAGTGACTTGTTTGATGGGTCAGTGATATAGACGGTGTAAAACGATTTGGATGGTTCGAATTTTATGTGTACAGACTTTTCCAAAATAGAACTGGTAGTAAGAACAGCCAGTGGCAAAACAATGAGAGACTAGTGTGGAGAGTCAAATTAAATACTAGTGAATATCTTTCTTTGTTCTTGCCTCCCCTCTTTTCTAAACTTTTCCATGTTTCGTTTCATAATATCTGTTTGTTTATTATTACAAAAAAGGAATTCGTCCACTTGATTTTTAAGAGTAGAACTTCCGCTCACTGTAAATTTAGGCAATCTCAAAATGTCCATACAAAGAACCAGATAATATCGACTGTATATTAGACATACACAGATTTTTATAAACCTGCATAAGTGGTAGTAATTTATCTAGTTTTTTATACTGTTCTTTTCAGATTGTTGGTGCAACGTCTCAGACATTACAAGGAAAGGCTCTTGGCTTGTCTACACTTGGAGATTTTTGTGAGACAAAGTGGCATAGTGTGAATACAGCTAAAATAATATAAATCGTTCTTATTGATCAGAATTTTACCTTGGGGTTGGTTCTAGCATCGCATTTATCTCATCAATTTTACTGTTATCCCAGGTGAATATCGTTTACTATTTATCCGTGAATTTAATAGCTAGTTAAGAACTATCACGATAATGTTATATTGCCATTATTGGCTCGTACCCTAATGTGGTTCTAGGTTTTATATACAGGTAATTCGGCTGAAATATTTTTTATTTGTAGCCAAATTTACTTGGCAGGCCAGCTAGAGAGCAGATGAAACGAAATTAACCCTAGGCTGGAAGGTAACTAACATAACAGGCTCCCAATGAAAATATGGGGATATAACTGGTCTATCTTAAGAACGACACAATTCTTGTCCACGAATACCCGGTAACTATAAAACTTTGGATATACGTCGTATCTCTAAAACCCACCCAGTATCCAAACGAAAATTTTCGTAGCGCATCACAGAGTGCTCTGGGAACAAAACTAGCGTCCGTAATTTGAATCTAAACTGAATTAACGTATCTGTGGTCGTAGACAGAGTCGAGTAATATGAAAAGTGAACGTAGCACTTGGCCAGACGAGATAGTTCTTCACAACGTTGTGGATGCTCATTGACCTAGGTGACTGAAAGATGTCATTTATTTATTTTAACACATAAATATTCGTGCAAGGCTTAGTGGTTTTTGACAAAATATATCGTAACCTAAAAACAAGTGGATCTCACAAAGTAGTACGTTAAGTGAGAAATACTGTCCAAAGTAATGAAAATAAAGTTCAACCATTGAATGTTTGCTAAAACACTCATCCCATACACAGATACTCGTCGAAAAAAACAAGCATTAGTTTACAAGCTTTCGTCTATTATATACTTGATGGTTACTCTCATTTAATACAATCGGTAACCGTGTCTTCGTCTAGCCGTCTTTTCATAATTCGGATTCCTGATTTCGCCGAATTCGCAATCAGCTGCATTTGGCAATGAACACGGTGGCACCCATCCATCGTCTTTAAGGGCAGCGAAACACTTGATGATATCTGAGTCTTTACGCGCCATTTTCTAGAATATAAACTGATGATTAGAAAACTTGACATCACTTACTCTTATCTGGTTAAGTGAATCATGTGGCGCATTGAAATTAATGAGGAAGTAGTGCCCTTCATATTGCCTTTCTCCTTGAACATGGAATACATTGGGAAGGCGTCGCAAGCCAAGATTCTCGACGTTGAATAGATGAGCACCATTATCGAGCATACCTTTGAGATGCCTTTTGAGAGCATCTTTTATACCAGGAGTGCCAAGAGCTTTAATTATTAGGGACATTTCATACCGTATCACGTTTGACATCTGAAAAACAATATACATCCTCTGTTTATTGGGAGAAAATAATGAAATAGTTTATATTAAGTCTCATCCATATTTAGATGTTTGTGACTGAGGGGCATTTATTAACAGCAATATTAAGTAATGCTGCCCACCACTAAAGCAAATATATATTTGTATTTATTAGTATAGCTGAGCGCATGTTACTATATCTTCTCAGGCGAACCAATTGGTGAGTATGTGGACCACCATCAAGCACCTTATAGATAACGAGGATAGAACTTAGTTATACAATCAATTAAGATAAGAAAAGTGACACAACTAGAAGTGATAGATAGTTTTAATATGAATAATGAATGTACGTATGAATTACTCGGGTTCAGAACTAAAATGGGCAGCTCTATCAGTCGGTTGAAATCGCCATCAGAGTAAATTCCCCGATGAGACGCGTGCATGCTCTTAGCTCAATTAGGTTTATTTAACTGCAACTGCCAAATCAATGTTATTCATCCAACCGGTCAATCAATAATTTCAAATCAAAGGTCGATTCTATCTTACCGTGTGTCCAATGTTACTGCTTTTCCTTTGAGCGTTATCTTCAATCGCTGTCAATGATCCTCCACGGAGGAAAAATCTTTTTGAAGTAACAAAAATAAACAACAATCCCAAAGGCGTATGGTAATATTTGAACAGGGACGCCGAACTAAAAAACCGTCTCGGAACACAAAACAATATGAAATTACAATAGGATACAAGGTGATTTCCCTTCCTCATTTTGAGACAAATTAAACAGAACATAATTGTAGATCAATTTTAAGAAAGTAAGATGTAAATTTTGGTTAACCATATATTATATAGAGTCGTACGCCTGTTTTAAGCTATTACAGTGAACGATCATAGGTGACTGAGAATCGTCTCTGGTAACTTTTATTTCACACGTAGATTATGTTGAGACTGATTACTCCATACGGACCTGTTCATTCTGTGTAGTTTTAGTGGCTGGCCCTGCCGATAGGTTTCCTGTGTTTAACCATAGTTTTTCTGGTTGTAAAAGTACTCCATGAGCTTTAATATTATAAAACTCGTTTGGATGTTTTTGTGCCACACGCAACTGTACTCGAGGTATATTATGGTACCTCAGTATATCCCCTCGAATCGAATGATTTTTCCTGACTTACGTAACATTCGGCCTCCATACGCAATAACTTTCGTTTCCGTCCGAAGAAACGTGCGATAATACATAATCTTGGTATGTCTAGAATAAAAAAACGGATTCCAACGTAAAATCTGAGTGTAAATCCGAAGCGAAAAATTCCCATCATATTAAAACACACAAAGAATATTCTTTCCAATAATCTCTCTTCAGTTTCTACAATTATATATCCAAATTAATAATCCATAAAATTGGCCAAGATTGAGGCAGAGTACATCATGTTACATATCCTCAGGTTTAGCAACTTATTATAGGTTTTTTCAAAGATTTTCGGAGGTTTCAGCTCCTTCATACCTTGCTATCAAAGGATATTAACTTTGAATTCACTAATAAGTCCCAACATTCTTTCGACTGGTTAAAAGAGTTTTGTTCTACGCCATTTTTAATACATCTGGACCGTTCTCCCACTGCTAGCCGTTTTATCTTAGACACTGATACAAGTGCCCAAGCTATCGGTTCTGTATTATCATAATCTTATTACCATCGGAAAGAGGTACCAACTTGGAAAGCATACGTTCTAAAGAATTATGTCAATTGTTGGGAATTCAGATAATTAAAATAACCCATTGAATAACAAAAAGAGAATTCAGCGAAGATTTTCTTTTCGACGAAATCATTTACTTAAGCTGTACATTCGTATATACAGTTATATGGAAAATGTATGTCTATAGAATGATAGAAAGGATTATATCACAAAAGTGATTTCGTCAAAAATTTTCTTCGCTGAATTTTCTTGTTGGGAATCCGCAAAACGCGAGCAACTGCCCGCCATCCAGAGTGCAAAATGTTTGTCAAGCGGACCAATCGGATTCTCAGAACGCTACTAAAAGCATTTGTTAGTCAGGAAAAAGCTAGATCGATAGATCCAGCTATAAACAAGTGTTTCTTGGCATATAGCGATAGCACCCATAGATCTACTGGATATACACCTCATCTATTATGGACATATGAAACTTCTAGAGGAGTTGCTAACACCCACAAGGCCCCAAGACCCTTTATCAGCATCCGCACATCTCGTTGGGGAATTTACTCTGATGGCGATTTCAACCAACTGACTGAGTTGCTTGATACATTTCTCGTAAGCCTATAAAAGTAGCTTTGAAATTCCAGTTTGCCTAGAATAAGAACACTGATCGAATAGTAAAATCACAGTGTAACACGGAAAGCATGAAACTAGTACTGTAGAACAAAACTATGTGAATTAATTTGGGTGCTAGAAGATAAGCAATCAGATGAACCACAAATTCAACCACCTGAAAAATATCTTCCGGGATCGTTTTCTCTATGGGTACTAGAATGCCGACAATACTTGATGGATTTCTCCAGCAACCGACAAACTTGCGTACTAGGCACCTTCATTTCTAGACAAGCATTGAAGGAGCCAAGACTATCAAGTATTAAGATCCTACCGACAAAAGAAATGAATGATTCTTTTACTGGAATGCGACTAGTATTTGGGCCTTTAAGGCATCCTGATTTTTTTAAGAAAAATTTCATCATGCTCAGTAAAATGAAGAAAAGTCAGCCTTAAAAATTAGCGACAGCAAATTCCGCAAATCACTCCAGAACAAAAGTTGAAGAGATAGTTCTTAGTCAATTTATCGAGAGTATGGACTTGGAACTACTATAAAAGAAGTTTATTAAACACACTACCGAAAGCCTAAAAATTGCTCGTGAGCAAGCATACGGAATGATTTTAGATCGTTAGAGCCCTCGGTGAGACTATAATTTATGGATCTCTGAGCAACACTGAAGAATGTCTACCTACAGACTAGGACTAAATGAGGGTTTTACCCAAGCAACACAAAAACGGGAAATAAAGCGGACGAAAGGGGAAATGTCGCTTTTTCGCCAATACGTCGGTTATTTAGGGGAAATGTTTATAAACCAGTGTGAGGAATAAGGATTATGATTTACAGTTGATGGTTAAGAATATGGATTAGATTTAGGGTTTTCATTAGGGATTGACATCAGATAAAATGTCGAGACGCTATTTGGCCAAACGGATAAAGAATTTCGCGCCGAAATCCAAGACCTGTTTTCGTAAATATGATTGATGTACCTATAAATTATAGTCTCGTCGATCTCTCCACTGAAATCGCCGTTAGACTAAATCCTCTGAGGGGTTTCGTGTATATTCTCAGCTCAATTAGCTCTACATAACTACAACTGCCGAATTAAGTGTATGTATTCAACCAACCCCGAACAGACGGATGAAATTCGCGCCGAAGTTCGACTGGTTCACCTGGTCATTTTACTTCAGTTAGATTTATATAGTCTATGGTTGTTTTCTTGGTAAATTGTACGGCACATGTTCAAAGGTTTTCTTTGTTTCGAAGTATATTTCCATTATTACTCTCGTTAATCACGGTTGTGAATAATCTCGCTTAATAAATCTATTAGATGTGAAGTTCACGATCCGGTTCTTAAGTAGCCATTCTGAGAAGCACAGATTATGCTTTTAATTACTAGAATGTCAGCTAATTGATCATTCATTGTTTAATCCATTATTATTGAGACAATAAGAGTGGTATTTACCGGGATATAGTTCTGTGTTGAGATTTTTAGTAATAATTTATGTTTTCTGATTGTAGAAGACACCTTCAACGTTTTTCAGATAGCTGCTGCTTCTAAGAATCAGGTTAATATTTTTAGTAGTATTGTCAGCATTTTTGGCTCTGCATTTTCATTGGGAACAGATGAGATGCCATAACCTAAGTTCGTGTTGGAATTGAAAACTTTAACCACAGCAGTGTAGCAGTAAACAAGTAACCAAGATCAATAGTTCTGCAAGTCTTCAACACTTGATGCTAACCGCATTACTTCTAATGGACTCACCTAGCTGAAGGCGCCCAGCCTCAAAACTGTACCAGATCACGAATGGGTACGCCATGATACTTATCTCATTCAACTATTAGCCGGCTTAGACTAAACGTTCTTCCACATGCCGATAGACTTCCAACTATATCTTCGAACTCCTCTATTTCCGTCTTCTGAGATTACCGGGTTGACATACTTCGGATATAAAGGTATTACGTGTACATGCGTTAACACACTTCTAATACCTGTGGCATCTTTAGCAGTAATAGTGCTGGGATCAAAGTCAGTTCTACTAAGATTTTTCTTGCTAGGCCATTAATTATTTATGACTGGGGCCTGAAATATGTTCGCGGTATTAGAAAACCACTTACTAAATAGTTCACAGATAACATGTTGGTCATCACTGGCCACTATATTGTATAGTATGGAATGGTTGCTGTAGTTTTAGTTACTTCCAACCCGCTTTTTTTGGCTGAGATTTCACATTATCAAGCAAATAGCTTATTTATTGAAGTGCACCAAAATCTTTTGTTAGGAAATACCTACTTTTTGTGGCTTAGCCTCGGAGCTTTGTTGATGCATGAAGTTATCGGTTTAAGAGGCATTTTGATGAATACAGTAGTGTTTAATTCTGGATTCATGTGGCTATTAAATAAACCCAGTGTTTCGTAAATTTATCACTACGGCGACGATATGTTTCTGGTGAATCGGTCACATGACATTTTTACGAGCATGATCAATAGTACACAATAAGCGTTTACAGATATCATGCAACCCCACCAGACTTATTGGAAAGCCATACCGAACTGTCAGAACGTTTTAAGCATAATGTCCATGCAGATTCACCGGATAAGTATTTGTGCGACGTAACCGTTTAATAAGTTTACAATTATTATAAAGAAACGAATGAAAGATACGTGATATAAGCTGCAAGCTTAGCAATCACATACCTTTAGGTTTGTGCTCCAGAAGTAAAAATAAGTTCCTTAGCTGTATGTTAAAAACGTGAGGCTTAAAAATGTAAAAAAAGAGCGGCAAGCAAACTGGATGTAAGACCTTGACAATACTAGCTGTTTAGAGTAGAATCAACATATGTATGGTAAACAAGTAAATAAAACTCATGCCAGATGTAATTAACCTATAATTTAATAGTCTATATGTAAGGGAAGGTAACAATAAAGACAATAAGTTGTGATGTGTCGAATGGGTCCGAATAATAGAGAAGTCGGAGGTAGAAACAGGGGTGATGTTCCTTGAAATGGAAAGTAGTATCTGGAAATGATAATAACTTTGGTGTTTGTCAAGATTAGTTTTATTGGTTATTCCTCTTTCTTCAGGTAACAACCGTCAATTACTCAAGGAAGGGCCTACATTATGGTTTTATGGGTTGTCGAAGTAAGGTGAAGAAGCCAAAACAAAATCGGAATCGTAAATCTGAGTGGTCACAAGCGTAGTAGAACAATTTCAGTATCACTGACTGGTCACCTCAGCCATAAACTGCTTGAAACAACCAAAATGTTCTGTCCCACAAATATGGGCGGATCGAAATAATCTCCCTTACATTAATGCATGGTGTTTAGCAACCCCTCACTTTCACCCTTTGTAATGTTAGGCTCTTTCAGGCTGGGTGTTAGAACAAACATTATGTTCTACTCAAGACATTATTTCTCATATTCTGCTGGAAAACATACTTTCCACAGGTACCATGTGACAAGATTGTAAGACCGTTACAATTTATTGACTCTGAGTTGAAGACTGATGTTCT